CAGCACCCACATGGCAGCTAACAACCATCTGTGACTCCAGTTCCAGGGAATCCAATGCCTTCTTCTGACCTCCAAGGGCATTGCACAATGTGGGTGCAATATGCAGGCATTACACTCATATACATAAAATAAAGATAATAAATAAAATTTAAAAATTCAAAGAACACATACTTACTCCAACCCCAACTCACTACATAAGACAAGATACCTGAAACTCAGAGAGAGAAAGCCTGTAACTGAGTGCAAAGAACTGGATGGTGGCAGAGCGGAGGAAAACCCAGGCCATTTGACTCCTAGACATGTACACAACTTGACCATAGCAGAGTTCATCAAGCTTTTTCTTTAATGTATATAAGTGTTTTGTCTACATGTATGTAAGTGCACCACATGCCGGGGAACAACCCCCCCAAAAAAAAAAAAAAAAAACACAGTACATTAGCATAGTAGAAAATTAGAATAAAATTGTCTCAGAACTACCAGTCAACTGCTACAAAGTGTCTTGTGTACCATTCCGTATATGAGTAACTGTACTATATATGACTGCGTAGGCCTAAGAATCTTAAGTGATTCTCAAAAGGCTACAAATGGCCAAAATGTAAAAAATAAGAGTCTACAGAGTGTGGGTCCTTGGACAGGACTCCTATATTGAGGTCCATCCTCCCAGGGCTCGGGGATCATTGTGGAAGAGGGAGTGGAAAGACTTTAAGAGCCAGGGAGGAGGCGCATGACCATATGGAAATGGTCCTACAGACGCCTGGGACTCTTCTCATACGAACCTACAGCAGTGGTGTCAGCATGCACAAGACCCATGCAAACTTAGGCAGACAAAAACCCAGCACAGAACTGTGGAAATGAACAACAAGCCCCAATCTTAGTTGAAGAATTATTGGCAGCTGATTACTGCTGGGTGAGGAAGAACTGATCTTCTCGAAGGGAGAGTCTGTAGATAGGCTGACTAAACCCCAGTGGATGAACTTGCACTGAGGGACATCTCAGGACACTAACTTTATGTAATAGGCCTTAACAAAAAGTATGAACTCCAGTAGGGGGCAGGGGGCTATGAGATGGTGCCAAAGGGGAAGGGGAAAGAAAAAAAAAGAATCTTAAGTGTTCTACATTACATTTGGCAAGTAAATAGTACAGAGGCATAAAATATAACCCAGTTTCCCTAGTTTATTACTAATTTGAAATTATAAAAATGCATAACCCAAGTAGTTAACCTATTTTAGTTTTTTGGTATTTGTTTAGGCTTATAATATAGATTGTCTGTGTGGCTACATGAACATATCCTTAATTTTATATCCTAGTAGTTCTGATACTCTGAATTCTCAGGATGCAATTATTTATCTATTGCTTTTTTTTTTTTTTTTTGGAAAATCTCAGGAATCTGTCCAGTCACACAGTAAAGAGGCTGAAACCCAGCACAGGAGAGGAAGAGAGTTTGTTTTAAATGACTTTCTTCTCTCATGGACTCTGAGAAGCCTTTTTGGAGCTGGGTAGTGGGGGATTGCATCTTCCCATTCTAGAGTCATTGGCCACCCGAGTTCCACTGTGAGCTCACATGGCCCAGACACAGGAAGAAGGGTTGAACCACTGGCATGCAAAAAAACCTCTTGAAAACAGAAACTGTCTAACTACTCTAATCCATCACAAGGGAAGGAAGGATCAGGATAAATGTTAATGTGTAAGAAACTCTCAACAGGCTGTTGTGAGAGCAGAATAGTGTATGTTAAAGTACTTAGAAGCAGCGCCAATTTGCTGAAGCTGGCCTCACCTAGGAAGGCAGCACATCAGCCTGCAATTAACAGGCACACAGGGAGAGCGAACACGCTCCTGTGCTGGTGCTCTCATCTCATTATCTCCTGGGAAAATTCGCTGCTGATCTTCGGGTTGTGACATATATCGTTTTTTATCCTTTAATTTTAACACACATGAATTCTGTTTGCTGAAGTTTGCGAAGTGGACAGCATACTCGGTTTGTTTTGAAATAATGCTCTTATTTTCCTTCTGTATTCATTGAGTGCTTTTTGCCAAAGTTCTAATCCCATCCACACTGATTTCCAATTTTCTCTGAGGCATGACATTAGAATAAAACAAGCTCTACTCTAATAGCTCAAGATAATAAGATATCATTTTTTTTCCCAGAGAAACGGTAGCAAATGGTAGATTTCCTTCTCTGTTTCTTGAGTGTGTAGCTGACCTTTTACATTAATGAGGAAGAAGTATCATGTTGCCATGCAAAGAAATGGGGCTCAGAGCTATTGCTTTAGCCACCATATGAGGAGATACCTGACAGGCTGGAGCAAGCCTTTTCTTTTAAAGTCATTTTTGTGAAAGTCACTAATGTATTGGTTCTTATTTTGACAGTGATGGGTGAGGGAGTAGGAAGAAAGAATTTCTGAGGTTTTGGTTTCTTTTTGGTAAGATACAGAAGGTAACCTTCAGGCTGTTTTGTTTTTTGTTTTTTTTTTCTTAATTGGAATAAATTATTTGGCAATCCTAATTACACTGATAGTTTTGCCTATATGTATTTGACCACAAAACTAAGAGTAATTTAGGGGAAAGTCTTTGAAATAATGAATTACCTAAACATCCCATTTTCCTGCTCTTCAGGAAATAGATAATGGAACCTGTGCACAGATGGAGCACACAAACATCTCACCTGGAGCTCTGCTCCTAGAAGTCTAGAAGTCGGTCACCCTTTAATCAGTAGCATCTATTTGCATAGCATTGCTCCTTTTTGAGCCTTTTTAAGACAGTTTGTTCCCTGGAGCAGGTCAGCTATAACCTCTGCAATTTTACTTACTCTCTTCATTTTCATAGTCTAATAATGAACGTTATTTAGTTCAGTGTTGGTCAGTTCTTCAGGTTTCAAATAGGCAGGCTTTTCTTGTTTATCATACATACAAGTCCATTGGTTGAGTTAGAGACCTGCCTGCTGGCTTGGTTTTAGATAAAGCACAATGGTTCTGTAGAAGACAAACCAGTCATTTAATGAGATGACATGGGCTGCATTTTTCTATCTGAAACCACAACTTTGCAGTAGCTATTCCCAAGAGGGTGTTAGCTGAGGGACTGGGGAGCTGTTAGTTCTAAATGACCTGAATCAACTCTGCCTGTCTTGAGTAAGAAGGGACTTGGTTACAAGGTAAGTATCCCTTGTCCTAAATGCTTGGTATCGGAAATGTTTTCAGATTTTGGTTTGGGACTTTAGAATATTTGCATCTATATAATGAGATATCTTCTGGATAGGACCTAAGTCTAATCACGTACTACATTCATGTTTCATATACCTTTTATTTTTTTCATGTAGACCTTAACATATAATGTGAAAGTGATTTTATAAAATATTTTTCATGTGCCTGTGTTTTTACTGACCTGTCCTCGTGGGGACAGGTGTGGGAGTTTTTATTTGTGTTATCATGTCATCCCTCAGAATGTTTCAGAATTCTGCATTTTTGGATATTCAATCTATAACAAGATAAATAACAACTCAGTAAATCTCCAGGCATAGTAGAGAATTTGACTTAGGGCTTTAACCTAATATACTAATCCTGTACAACTGGTCCAGTGAGAACGTGACTGCTCTTTGGAGTAGGCAGGAGTTTGGCACAGTCAGTACCACTCCACTGGCTTTGCTGCCACCATGGTTTGTCCTTCTGCCTCTATCCTGTTGGTCTCTATTTCCTCAGCATCTATACCTCCTAACTCAGTCGTGGCAAGGGCAGTCAGCTGGAAGAGCCAAGGCCTTGTGCCTGTACCTTAGCTGGCATTGATACCACGTGTTCAGTGTTTTTGTTGAGGATGGAGTTCAGGACTTTGTATATGTTAGGTAATTACTGTATCATTGAGCCACATCCCCAGCCTTTAGCTTTTTAACCTAGGCTGGCCTTGTGACGCCTGCCTCAGCTTCCCAAGTACTGGTACTATAGGCACGTGCCACTATGTCCACTTCCTTGGTTTCCTGGGTGATGGTCTCTCCCTTCCCACCAAGACACATTAGGTCGTTCAATTCTGAAACAGAAAAACATTTCAGATACTCTGGGCAGCAAAAAGCCTAAGAAATAGCACAGAACTCAGAGAACCTCCTAACATCCCAGGGTGATGTGATGTGATTTCTTTTTGTTCTTTCTAGCCAATAGATGAGAGCAGCCAGATGAGTGACCTGCCTGTCAAAGTGACACACACAGAAACTGGCAAAGTTCTCTTTGGACCAGAAGCACCCAAAGCAAGTCAGCTGGATGCCTGGCTAGAGATGAATCCTGGGTATGCTGTGGAGGCAACATTACTGGTGTTCTTTGGGCTTCTTTGATTGTGGGTGGGTATGGCAGTCCTTATCAAATTCCCACAATAAAACAGCACAGCCTTTGCTGAGATAATGAAATTTGTTAGCTGCATTTGCAATCTGTACATAGAATGTGCTAGTTAAGTCCTGTGTGTCTGTGTTTATGATTTAAAGAGCTCAGACACCTCTTCTTTACTTTTTTCCCTAGGTATGAAGTTGCCCCTAGATCCGACAGTGAAGAGAGTGACTCTGATTATGAGGAGGAGGTATGTATACATCTGTCTTTGGGGTTCACTGATGGTCCAGTCCCCAAGGCCTTCTGTCTTCCTCCTAGATTTACTTTTAGGTGATAACAGGGTGACATGTTTGTTTTATATGCCCTGATAGTATGTACCTAGTGGCACAGTCATCTCTTGAGGGTTCTTGGCTGGTGAGAAATCTTAGCAGATTCTAAATTCATTTGAGACCAAGGTATTATTAGACTAGAATGGTGCAAAGGCATTTTGGGGTAGAATTGGAGATAGATTACTTCAGGAAACACAGTACCCTGTCTCCAAGTGGTTCATAGTGAGAGCTAACTGCTTAAAATTTTCTGGTAGGGACTGGAGGGGTGGCTCAGATTTTAAGAGCACTGACCTCTCTTGTAGAGGACCCAGGTTCTGTTCCCAGTACCCATGTGGCAGCTAACAACTGTCTGTAACTTTAGTTCCAGGGTTCTGACACCCTCTTCTGGAATCCATGGGCATTGCTCACATGTGGTACACTTACATACATGCAGGCAAAACATTCATACACAAAAAATAAAAATAAAAATTTAAATTTT